ATTCGGTTACCATCTAACCAAATTGATGAATATACTGTACCAAACCCTCCTCTGCCAATCTCTTTTATATTATCTAGCCTGTTATATGGAATCCATTCAATAACATTTTCAAATGACGTAGCTTCAAGTTGAAATTCTTTAATGCAATCATTTATGTTTTTATCGACACTAGTTTTCTCTTCCATTCTTGGAGGATCACACAATTGACACCAAGCTGGATTGGTGTTGTATCGTTTGCAGTACTCACATATTCCATTAACGCAATTTCTTTGTTTATTATAAAAATCAATTACAAGCATGTATTGACCAGTTTTTGTATTTTGAGTTATTCCATGTATTCTATATTTTCCTAATTGCATATGAACTTTAAACTTTATATGATATGTATATATTAATTAATTAAGCAATATTTTAATTTTCAAGTAGGGTTGGAGCCGGTTTCACTTATGGTTAAATCGGTTTTATGCGATTTTAGCATAAGAAAAAAAATTGATCCAAACTCTAATTTCAAGCAATAGACTAATACAGTAATATATAAATAAATTTGCTTACATTTTCTAAAAGTTCTGATACAGAATAATTCATTTTCATAAGATCAACAGATGATATAGTGCGTGATTGTACATATTTTCCAGATTCACCTTTAATCGTTCGTATACCTTTTATCCAGGTTGCCATGAATGCAACATCTGATTCTTCTTTAATTTCTTGTAACTTAATTAGATTATCAAATGGAATCCATTCAATCACCTTTTCATATTCCACAGCTTTGAGTTGGAATTCTTTAATGAAATTGTTAATTTCTTCATTTACACTTGTCCATTCTTGAGTTGCTCTCAAGGGATCACAAGATTGGCACCAAGCAGGAGAAGTGTTGTAATGTCCACAGCACTGGCATATTCCATTTGAATCGTTTCTTCTAGAACTAAATTCATCTGGTATAACAATTATATATTGATTTGTGTCTGTATCTCGAGTAATTCCATACACAACATTTTTTTCTGATTGTATATAATTTTTAAGCTTATAAAAGTATTAAATGCATTAATGGAATCACTATATGTTATGAATAATTCAATAATGAATTAACTTACTTCTTTCATAAACAAATCACATGTTTGGAACCCTTTAAGGTTAACACCATATGATTCAATATGTGATTGTGTATATTCTTTAAATTCACCTTTAATTATTCTTTTGCCATCTAACCATGTCGCCATAAAGATTGTTTCTGAATTTTCTTCTCTGATCTTTTGTGATTTACTCAGTCTATCAAATGGAATCCATTCAATCACCTTTTCATATTCTGTAGTTTTGAATTGTAGTTCTTTTATGAAGTTATCAATCTCTTCATTATTACTTGTCCATTGAGTTGCTTTCCAAGGATCACAGGATTGGCACCAAGCGGGTGAAGTGTTATAATGTCCACAGTATTTACATATTCCATTTGAATTGTTTCTTCTAGAATTAAATTCATCTGATATTACAATTGTATATTGATTTGTTTTTGTATTTTGAGTAATTCCATACACGACGTTTCCCTCTAGCTGCATATAATTTTTAAGCTTATACGTAAAAGTATTAAATGCATTAATAGAATCACTATACAGTATGTTATGAATAATGCAATTATAAATTAACTTACTTCTTTCATAAACAAATTACATGTTTGGAACCCTTTAAGGTTAACACCATATGATTTAATACGTGATTGTGTATATTCTTTAGGTTCACCTTCAATTATTCTTTTACCATCTAGCCATGTCGCCATAAATGTCATTTCTGTTTCTTCTTCTCTAATCTTCTGCAATTTATCCAGTTTATCAAATGGAATCCATTCAATCATGTTTTCGTATTCCGTAACTTTAATTTGAAATTCTTTAATATATTTATCAATATATTCATTGCCACTTGTCCATTCTTGAGTTGCTCTCCAAGGATCACAGGATTGACACCAAGCAGGTGAAGTGTTGTAGTGTTCACAGTATTTACATATTCCATTTGAATCGTTTCTTTTAGAATTAAATTCATCTTGTATTACAATTATATATTGGTTTGTTTCTGTATTTTGAGTAATTCCATATACAATATTTCTTTCTAGCTGCATATAATTTTTAAGCTTATAAAAAGGTTTAAATGTATTAATGGCGTCGTTATAAGTTATGAACTATGCAATAAAAATTACTTACTTCTTTCATAAATAAATCGTATGTTTGAAAACTTTTAAGGTTTATACCACATGATTTAATACGTGATTGTGTATATTCTACAAGTTCACCTTCAATTATTCTTATATCATCTCCTTTAATTATTCTTATACCATCCAACCATGTCGCCATAAATATCGTTTTTGATTCATCTTCTCTAATCTTTTGTAAATTAATTAGTCTATCAAATTGAATCCATTCAATCATCTCTTCATATTCCGTAACTTCGATTTGAAAATTTTTAATATATTCATCAACATCTTTATTTCCACTTGTCCATCCTCTAGTTGCTTCTAAAGAGTCACATATTTTGCACCACGTCGGAGAAATAAAAGGTCGCTTGCATTTTGTACATTTTCCATGAAAATTATATCTTTAATACGAAATATAAATTATTAAAATTTTACGTATTAATTCTCTTGATTATATTTAGTTTTAACAAAATGATAAAATATATTAATGAAATATTAACCTTTTTGTTGATCGATCGGTGACATCATAGATTAATATGTATAAACTTAATAAATAAAAATTGGAAGCTTTTCTACTTACTTACTATTTAAAAAGAATATTAATAATGAATATACATTAGGGTATTTATGAAATTAATTGAAAGTATGTCAATGTTTAGGTAAATATTTTCAAATAAACTTTAATACTAACTCTCTATAATATTAATGACGATAAAATGATTAAAAGATGAAATAATTTACAGTATTGTGTAATACTGTATAAACATAAAAGTGTTTTACACTAACCGTCTAATAAATGTATTTCATTAGAATAACATTTATTGTTTAAAAAAACTTAAATAAATGTTATACATACCGAACAATAATTAAGGTTATTTCTTTGCAGACATAATTACAGATAATCATGAAAATCTTAAGGCTAGACGTGACAAATAAAAGGAGTGGAACTATATCATATTCAAAAAGGAAATCATAATCGTAATAATAAACCTATTTAAACAGAACCTGAATTAATAAATCAAATTGAAATTTTTACAAGTATATGAATAGATATTATGCTACCAATGCCTTAATTACTCGTGACGTAGGGATAATTTCATAATGATAAATATAATGAAAATTTTACTCACTTGAATAATTATCTGTGGAATATTCTTAAAAAAAATATCAAAAAATGCACCCCATATAATTACAAAATCCAAAATATTTTCAAGTATATTAAATATATTAATTAGCTCGCAATTGTATGATTTCTTATTAAACATAAGTAAGTCTTTCAAAATCGTTAAATACTCATAATCGGTTGCTACCAAAATAATTAACATAAATACTAATCCTCGATGTTTAATAACCCATTTTTTAAAGTCTTCACTAATAAAGGGATTTTTAATTCCTTCAGAAATGGTATAAATTGCTATATAAAAGTTTATGTATAATGGAACACTCAAGACGACCACACTTCAAATAGAGTTTTTGCGAGATCAAAAAAAAAAGATGACAATAATTTAATATTAATTTAATGATAATAAAAATAAATTTATTTAGCAAAAATACCTTGGCCAATAAAGTTCTGGTACGTTTTTAGAATTATAAGCAACAAAGAGAATTGAAAGAATAAAATTAGGGATAATTAATCCAAGCCTTAAGATTGCAGAGCTTAGTGCCTCGAAATTTTTTGATTTTAACTTTTTAGATAAAAATTTTTATAAATATTCGTGATAAAAGCTTCTAAAAAAAAATTGGTAAAATAAATTTACCTTATAGCTTAATATATATGATAATGAGCGTAGTATTATAAAGATCATAACTCCGATGAGTATCGCTATTTGTACTTTTAAATCATTCCATATATTCCCTACAGATATGAAATTTTGACATAAACACAATTCTGAAACATTTTTAAACGAGACAACTAACTTACATCTTGGTTGAAAGCCGTAATCTTGGTCTAGTTCATTTGTAACACCGAGAGAGAAGGTAGTGATACTCTTGTAAATTATCATGGTGTTTAAATCTGAAAATACCTCCGAAGCAGTCTTTTTAATTTCATTATTTTCTATATATATATGGATTAAAATGACGATTTGATCATAAAGTACATTATGAAATCTATTATCTGATCTTAAAGAAGAACGATCTATTGGCACTTTGTCGGCAAGTTCATTCAATAAATTATCAATATACGTTGATTGATCGTGTTTAGAGAAGTTTGAAAATTTTTTTGAAGCTTCTGTAGTAAGACGTACTGAGCCTATAATAGCTTTATCTGTAAGGAATTAAAATAAGAATCATGTGAAATGTTTAAATGAACATAAATGTAATGCGTACGTACTATCTGAGTATACCTTCCGATTATCTGGGTCACCTAAAAGTCCAAAAAAAAAATAAATAAAGGATAATAATTTCCAAACAAATTTAATTCGTAATCTGCCAGGGAACTAGTGAAAATTCATAGTAAACCGTGGGGATATGTTTACTATGTAAATTTTCCTTTTTTGGAATATAAATCGATTTTTTGTTAGAAGTTGAGAGAAGTTTGCCTAGTAAAAAAAAAATCAATTTATCTTTCGAGAAACTCCAGATTCCAAAAACAATCACTGGTTCCCTGGCGGATTACGAATTAAAAGATAAGTTATATATATATATATTACGTGTTTTAAGAATCCAAATACCATCATGAATTCCTCTTAAAGGCTCATTATCTATTTCATCATTGACAAAGTTGTTATCCAAAATCACAAAATATTGTTCGCCATATTCATTGAATGTGCTATTAATGACTTTTATACTAATAGTAGATTCCAAATCATAAACACTGATTTTACAGAAATCATGCATTGTTGCTGAAACTCTTTGTCTAATGCTATTATCGGAGGCTTTATAGATGGTGATATTGCCAGTTGACAATGACAATCTAATAAATCTATTGAAAGTGATGTTAAGGAAGGCCACTGATAAATTTAAAGTAGCATTGATTGATGGAATGGTTCGGTTTATCATGACATTATCATAACCATGGTCTAAATAGAGAAATATTAACATTGCTTAATATATATAAAAATTTAAGTTAA